CTTTCTTTCGTAATTTATTTCCGTTTGGCTTTCTTTTTTCTGCTTTCAAAGTTCATTCTTTCCTTCTTTCTCCCGTATATTTTCTTTCTTTCTTTCTTTTTTTTCTTTCTTTCTTTTTTTTTTCGTTCATTTTTTCTTTCCATTTTTTTTTTCTTTCTTTCTTTTTTCTTTCTTATGCTTTCAAAGTTCATTCTTTCCTCCTTTCTCCCATATATTTTTTCTTTCTTTCTTTCTTTTCTTTTTTTTTTTTCTTTCTTTCTTATGCTTTCAAAGTTCATTCTTTCCATCTTTCTCCCGTATATTTTCTTTCTTTTCTTTCTTTCTTTCTTTCTTTCTTTCTTTCTTTCTTTCTTTTCTTATGCTTTCAAAGTTCATTCTTTCCATCTTTCTCCCATATATTTTCTTTTCTTTCTTTTTTTTCTTTCTTTCTTCTTTTCTTTCTTTCTTTCTTTCTTTTTCTTCATTCTTTCAAAGTTCATTCTTTCTCCTTTCTTTCCCTTTATTTTCTTTCTTTCTTTCTTATTTTTTTTCTTTCCATCTTTCTCCCATATATTTTCTTTCTTTCTTTCTTTCTTTCTTTTCTTTCTTTCTTTCTTTCTTAAAAAGTTCATTCTTTCCATCTTTCTCCCGTATATTTTCTTTCTTTCTTTCTTTCTTTCTTTCTTTCTTTCTTTCTTATGCTTTCAAAGTTCATTCTTTCCATCTTTCTCCCGTATATTTTCTTTCTTTCTTTCTTTCTTTCTTTCTTTCTTTCTTTCTTTCTTTCTTATGCTTTCAAAGTTCATTCTTTCCATCTTTTTTCTCCCTTTTTTCTTTCTTTTTTCTTTCTTTCTTTCTTTCTTTCTTTTTTCTTTCTTTCTTTCTTTTTTCCTGCTTTTTCTTTTCAAAGTTCATTCTTTCCATCTTTCTCCCTTATATTTTTCTTTCTTTCTTTCTTTTCTTTCTTTCTTTCTTTCTTTCTTTCTTTTCAAAGTTCATTCTTTCCATCTTTCTTTCCTGTATTTTTCTTTCTTTCTTTCTTTTCTTTCTTTCTTTCATTCTTTCTTTCTTTCTTATTTTTCAAAGTTCATTCTTTCCATCTTTCTCCTTTATTTTCTTTCTTTTTCTTTCTTTCTTTCTTTCTTTCTTTCTTTCTTTCTTATGCTTTCAAAGTTCATTCTTTCCATCTTTCTCCCGTATATTTTCTTTCTTTCTTTCTTTCTTTCTTTCTTTCTTTCTTTCTTTCTTTCTTTCTTATGCTTTCAAAGTTCATTCTTTCCATCTTTCTCCCGTATATTTTCTTTCTTTCTTTCTTTCTTTCTTTCTTTCTTTCTTTCTTTCTTTCTTTCTTATGCTTTCAAAGTTCATTCTTTCCATCTTTCTCCCGTATATTTTCTTTCTTTCTTTTCTTTCTTTCTTTCTTTCTTTCTTTTCTTTCTTTCTTTCTTTTCTTATGCTTTCAAAGTTCATTCTTTCCATCTTTCTCCCGTATATTTTCTTTCTTTTTCTTTCTTTCTTTCTTTTCTTTCTTTCTTTTTTTTTTCTTATTGCTTTCAAAGTTCATTCTTTCCATCTTTCTCCCGTATATTTTCTTTCTTTCTTTCTTTCTTTTCTTTCTTTTTTCTTTCTTTCTTTCTTTCTTAAGTTTCAAGTTCATTCTTTCCATCTTTCTCCCGTATATTTTCTTTCTTTCTTTTTTCTTTTTTTCTTTCTTTTTCTTTCTTTCTTTTCTTATGCTTTCAAAGTTCATTCTTCCATCTTTCTCCCGTATATTTTTTCTTTTTTCTTTCTTTCTTTCTTTCTTTTTTTTTTTTTCTTTCTTATGCTTTCAAAGAGTTCCATCTTTTCCCTATCCTTTCCCGTATTCTTTCTTTCTTTCTTTCTTTCTTTCTTTTTTCTTTTTTTTTCTTTCTTATGCTTTCAAAGTTCATTCTTTCCATCTTTCTCCCCTATATTTTCTTTCTTTTTCTTTTTCTTTCTTTCTTTCTTTCTTTCTTCTTTCTTTCTTATGCCTTCAAAGTTCATTCTTTCCATCTTTTCTCCCTATATTTTCTTTTCTTTTTTTTCTTTTTCTTTCTTTCTTTCTTTCTTTTTCATTCTTTTCTTATGCTTTCAAAGTTCATTCTTTCCATTTTTTCTCCCGTATATTTTCTTTCTCTTTTTTTTTTCTTTCTTTCTTTCTTTCTTTTTTCTTTTTCTTATGCTTTCAAAGTTCATTCTTTCCATCTTTCTCCCCTATATTTTTCTTTCTTTCTTTTTTTTCTTTCTTTCTTTCTTTTTTCTTTCTTATGCTTTTCAAAGTTCATTCTTTCCATCTTTCTCCTGTATATTTTCTTTCTTTTTTCTTTCTTTCTTTTTTTTTCTTTCTTTCTTTTTCTTTCTTATGCTTTCAAAGTTCATTCTTTCCATCTTTCTCCCTATCCTTATTTTTCTTTCTTTCTTTTTCTTTCTTTCTTTCTTTTCTTTCTTTCTTATGCTTTCAAAGTTCATTCTTTCCATCTTTCTCCCGTATATTTTTTCT